CCAGTTGTTATGGAAAATTTAATTGCAATGTGTGTCTTTTTTTTAATAGACTATATATATTTTTCTGAGTCTCACTTCGTCGCCCAGGCTGGAGTGCAATGGCACACTCATGGCCACCCCAGCATCGACCTGCTGGGCTCCGGTGATCCTTCCATCTCAGCCTTTCAAGTAGCCGGAACTACAGGCACACACTACCACACCTGGCTAATTTTTTGATTGATTGTAGAGATGAGGTCTCACCAAGTTGCCCAGGCGGGTCTCAAACCCACGGGCTCAGGCAAGCCTCTCATGTCAGCCACCCAAAGGCACGGGATTATAGGCTGAGCCACCGAACCCGACTGATACTATTTTTTTAGAGCAGTTTTTGGTTCACAGCAAAATTGGAAGATATGGAGAGTTTCCCCCATCCCACAGAGCCTCCCCCACTGTAGACCTCCCACACCAGGTAGCTATGTCACAGTTAATGAATCTACATTGACATCATCATCACCCAGAATCCATAGTTTTCATTAGGGTTCACTCTTGGTGTTACCCATTCTGTGGGTTTGGACAAATGTATAATGACACGTATACACCATGACAATATCATACACAATAGTTTCATCTGTGCCTTTTTTAATTGTCAAGAGCCATCATTATAAAGTTATAATAACTGGCTAGGTGCAATGGCTCATGCCTGCAATCCCAACACTTTGGGAAGCTGAGGTGGAAGGATCACTTGAGGCCAGCAGTTCAAGACCAACTTGGACAACATAGAAAGAACTCACCTCTACAAAAAAAAAAGAAAGAAAAGAAAAATTATCAAGATCACATTGCAGAATCTTTAAAAAATAAAGAAAAGAAAGGAGTAGCACTCATAATCAGGCCCCTGCAGCACTATTTTTCAGTCTTTTTACTATGCATGGTTTCTGCCTGATTGTCATCAAAGAACATTCCATTCTGCTCTTGCTGATGCTTGTCCTGGGCATTTTCCAGTTTAACACTCAATCTTCATAATCCTGACTCACCCCCACACTCACCCCCACCTGGTGACTGTGCAATATTCTATCAAACTGATGCTTCATTTTGGTTGGTCTAAGTTTAACTATTCCAAATAACGTTACAAATAATACTTGTTTTGTAGAGCTTTTCAGGCATTTCCTTAGACTCATGCAGTGGTTCTTAAAGTGTGGTTCCTAGAATAGCAGCATCCGAATTACCTGTGAACACTGCATTTGGAATGCAGATTCTCAGGCCCCACCCTAGACATGCTGATTTGGAAGCTCTGGGGGATAGAATTGGTGATATGGGTTTTAAAAGGCCCTCCAGTGGTAAGAACCTCTGGGCCAGTTATTAGTATTCTATTGCTGCTGTAACTCATTGCCACAAACAGCAATTTAATATAAATTTATCCTTATGGTCATAAGTTATCTGGCATGAGTCTCACTAGGCTGAAATCAAGGTGTCATCAGGGCATCTTTCCTTTGTGGGGGCCCTAGGGAAGGATCTGTCTCCTTGCTCGCTTAGGTTGTTGGTAGAGTTCAGTCCCTGACAGTTGTAGGACTGTGGTCCTGTTTCCTTGCTGGCTGACAGCTGAAGACTTTTCTTGGCTTCTAGAGTCCACTGCCTTCCCTAGCTCAGGGCTGCATTGTCTTCAGAGCCAGCAATGGCAGGTTGAATCCTCCTCACTTCTCAGCTCTCCTTGTCTGGCTTTCCCCTTCACTTTTTTTTTTTTTTTTTTGAGTTGGAGTCTCATTCTGTCACCCAGACTGGAGTGCAGTGGCCGCTCCCAGCCACCGCAGCCTCGATCTGCTGGGCTCCGGTGATCCTTCTGCCTCAGCCTTCCAAGTAGCTGGAACTACAGGCATGCATTACCACACCCGGCTAATTTTTTAAATTTATTTATTGTAGAGATGAGGTCTCGCCAAGTTGCCCAGGTGGATCTCAAACCCACAGGCTCAGGCAATCCACTCACCTCAGCCTCCCAAAGTGTGGGATTACAGGCTGAGCCACCGAGCCCGGCTTCCCCTTCACTTTTAAGGCCTTGTGTGATTAGATGGGTCCACCTTGAAAATCCTGGATAACTGTCCCACCTCAAGGTCTGTACTCATAATCCCATTTGCAAGGTCCCTTTTCCCAAGTAAGGTAATGTAGTCACAAGTTCTGGAGATGAGGGACTGGACATATTTGGGGACCATTATTTGCCTACCACAGCTAGAGAACCAAAGTGCTTAATCAGTCAAGAAGATAAGATTTTTATGGCTCTTTATACAGATTATCAAATTCCTTTCCTGGTGTGTCAGACAGATACACAGTAGTATGCTTTACCCCACCTTCACCAGCATTGGACTTTTTGATTTTTCTTCCCCTAGTGGTTGCTAGTTACAATTTGTCCCTGGCATTTTGGTTATACAGTTCTTGGATTACTAGTAGGATTTCCATGTTTTTGATAACTGTCTTAGATAATTTCAAGGACAAGAGGATGTTGATGGTCATGATGAGTCAGTAGGACCTGTCTCTACCTCCTATCTGCCCTGCTCCGTGTTGGATGCTGGGGAAGTAAAGACATTCCTGTGGGGTCTATGTCTTCAGGCAGCTTCAGTCTCATGGAGGGGGAAAGAAGCAGTACCCTCAGAACACAAGGAATGACTGCATATAATGGGATGACAGGCACACACATGGAGGCCTGAGGCTGGCTGATAGCCAGGTGTCTTAGAGGAAGGCCTGTGCCCAAGCCAGACTGGAGGGAGTGGTGCTTCTCCAGATGAAGAGCCTAGAGGCTGGCCTGCTGCAGACCTGGTCATCCCTGGGCAGGGCAGAGCATCAAGGCAGGCCCCTGGTCACTCTTCCATGGGGTTTGACCTAGTCTAGAATGGTGGGTGGCTCTGGTCAGTGGGCTGGTAGGACATTGACAGCCCTGTCCCAGCAGGTACCAGGCTTTACTCTGGCCTTGGCTTTGCAGGTGGCCTGCTATAGCTGCACATCCGGGCAGTGGTCATCCATCTGCCCGCTCCCAGCTGGGCATGGTGAGCCTGGCATTGCCGTGCTGGACAACAGGATCTATGTGCTAGGTGGTCGCTCACACAACCGCGGCAGCCGCATGGGCTACGTGCACATCTACGATGCAGAGAAGGACTGCTGGGAGGAAGGACCTCAGCTGGACAACTCCATCTCAGGCCTGGCGGCCTGTGTGCTCACCCTGCCCCGCTCCCTGCTTCTTGAGCCACCCCGCGGGACCCCTGACCGCAGCCAGGCTGACCCAGACTTTGCCTCTGAGGTGATGAGTGTGTCTGACTGGGAGGAGTTTGACAACTCCAGTGAGGACTAGGCTCCCGGTGCTTGTGTCAGAAGGAGGGGTGGCAGGGGCCAAAGGGCAGTGAAGCCCATGTAACCTAGGCCTGAGCACTTTACTCCAGAGCAGGGGCTCTGCCCCTGGCACCGGTGACTCACAGCCCCTGCCCCCTTTCTTCATACCAGCCTCTTAACTAGCCTGCCGCAGGTGTCTGAGGGGCCTTGCAGATCCTGTGACTGTGGATTACATCACATTGGGAAGTGCTCCTGAAAGGCTGTGGTTCTCCTCAGTGGGCCCTGGAGGGCTTGCCATACCAGCTGGCCTGGCCTTCCTTCCTCCCTCCCCGGATGTGGTCTCTGCTGGGCTCAGAGGTTCCCTGGGAACTGGCAACCTGGGCAGTGAGAGCCGAGGCACATTGCACCTCTCTTTCCACCTCTGGTTGAAAGCAGCTGAGTCTTGAGCAATTGAGAGCTCCCAAGGGACAGGAGGGACAGAGATACATAAACTTCCCTTGGACTGGTTCTAGTGAGAAAAAGACCCCTCCCACTGGGTTTTTCTGACCCCACGTTGCTGATAAATGAAATAAAGCATCTTATGGAAAGTGTAAACTGTTTTTCTGTGGCCACAGCCTCAGTTCCTTTTTGCACAGTGCGTCTGAGTTGCATCTCTGAGAAGTGTAGCTTTCTGGGGATAGAGCTGCTGTCTGGGAAAGCTGTGTCATGGGACCTAGGGCCAAAAGCAGAAGGGTGCCAGCAGGACCCTGCTCAAGAGGGAAGCACAGTAAACCCCCCAAGTTAAAAGGGCGATCTCTGGGAAACCTGGAACCTGCCATGGTGTGATGACAGGTGGTTGTCCACCCCTCTAAAGCATCTTCTCTGGTGTAGAACTCTTCTTCCGACAGCATGTTGAATTTCAGTCCAATTAGAAATCTCTTGTCCTGAGTAAAGTCTCAGCCTGAGGGTCAGGGAACAAGAACCCAGGATCTGGGAAAGGAGGCAGTGCCACATGAGGGTTAAGTAGACACCGTCCTGAACAAGGGAGAGGTGGCCCCACTGGCCCATGCCTGGCTCCTCTTGACTTCCTGAAGCTGAATGGGGTGGGGAGGGGGAAGCTGTGTTTCCTGCAGGTTCACCAAGTGACCCTTAGACACCCTGTCTCAAGGGCCACACTGGCACAGCAGATGGTACTCTTCCCTGTTCACTGTTACTGGTGCTTTCCCCATTCTCAGGACTACCAGATATAGACTGAACCTCGCACAGATGGGCTGGGGACCCACGCCGGCTACACAGTAGTTTCTTCCACCCAAATGCCCTCCCCTCCTGCCTGCTGTGGGATCTGTACCTGCAAGTCTTATCAGTATTTTTATTATAGTTTTCCCCCAGGCCTCTTACAGAGAGCCACCCTGCTGACAGAGCTGTGACTTACTAAGGCCTCATCATCTCCCAGTGTGGGGACAGCCCTATCTTCTCACTGGCACCCTGTCACAAAAGGAAGGAGAGCAGGAGGCAGTATGTGTGCTCCTTGATGGGAGGGGGAGGCAGACCATCAGTTGCTCTGGGCTCTGCCGTCTGGATACTCTAAGGACTTTAGGGGGTGGAGGCGAGTCCCTTGGAATTGTCATGTGCTCCTCAGGGCCATGTGACTTTCCTCACTGTCCTGGGGCCTGGTTATCCCTGAAGAAGAGTGATCTCACCTAGTCACATACAGTGTTGACCCCCAGTGGGGCAGGATGGCCATACGCTCCAGCTTCACTTCTCCTGCTCCCGAGAACATTGGCTCAGTAGGGACCCTACTCTGTGGGTCTCAGACCCAGCACTTACTATGTCTCTGCCACCACGTGGCAGGCCAGGGCAGCAATTTCCGCAGACCCCAGAGGGTTCTGGACAGGAGCGCCAGCAATGCCTCACCACCCTCTCCAGTATGTCCTGAGCTTGCCAGCACCATCTCTCCAAGCTACCAAGTGTGGCCACAGGCTTGCAGGAGGCCTCTGGTCTGCAGGGCAGGAAAGGCCTGAGGACACATCTTGGGGAGGGCCCTGGGAGCTGAATGCAGCCTGGCCCTACCTCTGTCAGCCTCAAGCCCCAGCTCAGCTTCTGGGACCATGTCACCACCTCCATGGCCACGTTTCCTCCTGCCCCTAGCCTGAGGCATCCCAGCCCCTGTTCTCAGTGTGGCCAGGCTCTTGGACCCTGCTTTCATGAAGGTCTACCTTCTCCAGACACCCATCCTGTCCAGAACTAGCTGGCTCCCAGTTTGCCTGTGTGGTAGTCAGTCATCTCTGGGTACCTGTGAGTCCACACTTCATCTTGGTGTTCACCTGGTGCCATGTGAATGATCCTTTGTTTCCCCTATACCTCTCAGTGTCCTGCTGGGGGTGTGGAAGTGGTTAGGACAGACAAGGGCCCTGTCTGTGACACCCAAAGTTGCCATCCATTTTGAGGTATCTGTGATGAGACGCATGCGTGGAGCAGTGGGTGTGAGAGGAGTGTAGGAACAATCCTTGTCCTGAGGGCAGTAGGGCCACAGCCACATGTGAGATTAGAAAAGACTACTCTGGATGGCATGTAGACGCCGTAGGTGGAGATGGAGACATTTGGGACAGGCATCCCCAAACCCCCGGGCTGTGGACCAGCACCAGTCCATGGCCTATTAGGAACCAGGTCCCACAGGAGGAGGTGATGGTGGGTGAGCACTCCTTAACCTATCAGATCAGTGAGCAACTCCTTATGAGAATCCAATGCCTGATGATCCATCGCCCCCTCAAATCCTCATCTGTGGAAAAACCGGTCCTTAATGCCACAAAAGTTGGGGATTGCTGGTTTAGGAGACCTTGGGGGTGGGTGTAAGGGCATCATCTAGGTGGGAATGCATAGAGATGGGGAATGGGGGATGGAGAGCAGATCTGGGGGAAGGGGAAAAGAAGGTGATGGAGTTTGAGGTGCCTGCTCATGAACTTGGTCTAGCTGAGGTCCAGCTCAGGGGGTCAGTGCCTCTAAAGCCAGGAGCTGGGTTGGGACAAACACTCAGACACTGCAGCCACAGGCACCTCTGCTGTCCTTTTGGTGGCAGCCATCAGGAGCTTCTATTGGAGGGCCCCCTCACTGGGAGGGCACTGCTGAGGTCAGGGCTGTGCCTAGGCTGAGCTGCCCAGAAAGTGGATGGCCTGTTTTCTCCTCTCCAAGAAGTGTTTGCATTCATGACCTAACTGGTTGACTTCCCTTCCAGCCTGCTTACCAGCTGGCTGAGCTGAGCAAGGGGCCCGAGCTCCCACCGATGCTCCTCCCCATCCCACCCTGACCCTGCCAGCCTGGTGATACTTATGGCTTTGGGCCTTTCATGGCTCTGTTCCAAGCCCCCTCCTCCAGCCCTACCCTCTGTGGTTGTCTGTCCGCCACATCCCGAGAGAGGCTTGCCTCTCCTCTCTCCTCCTCTGGGGAGCCTCTGGCCACAGGCAGCCTGCTTCCCAAAGAAGGCAGCCCTCTCCTCCCTCAGGTCTCCCAAAGGCAAACTCATTCTTGCTGGGACCTGGCTGCAAAAATGGGACATTTGTGCTTCTTGCCCAACCTGCCAGCTCACTGGGTCTGTGGTTGCCTCGGCTCCGTCTCCCACAGCAGGCTGGCACCCTGCTGCTCCCAGCCCCGGTTCCTGCTTCCTCTCTGGCTCCCTAGGCCCTGTCACTCTCCATTCTGCCCCTCCTCCACCTCCCGTCTGCTTTGTACCTTCACCCCTACCAGATGCAGGGGTCCCAGTCTCCAGCCCCACCTTCTGGATGTTTCCTTCTGGAAATCCAACAGCTTTCTCATGCAGAACCCATTTCCCGGGTGCCCCACCCCTCTGACCCCTTGACAAGGACGCGGGGTTTCCATCCTGGAGTTCCTCCCTCTGCCTTTATCTCCACATTCTATGGGTGTCCACAGCTGGGCCATTCTACCCCTGGGCATCTCCCCCTCCGTCCCTGCGAAGACCGTCCCCCACGCTGCCAGTCCAGAGTCCAGCCGCAGGCCTCGAGCATCCTGCTTGATGCTCTCTGGCACGCTTTGATTGAGCCATGCGCGGGAGGAGCTGACGGCACACGCTGGCACTGCCAGGGCTTCGCGGCTTTCGGCCGCGACCGGAGCCGTCTGCGGGCCACCCTCCCCTGGCCGGTTCCGGCTCGGTGGTGCAGTGAGCGCTCGGGCGTCTTCTCGGTGG